AGGGACTGGGCATACTGTCCTGTCCTTGTATTAAACAATACTGAAATCCAGCAACAATAACTTAGCTGGTGGCTCCAGGAGATATCTGTTCCTGGGAGATGAGGCTGTGACCCCACTAAAATGACTTGTTCATCAAGACTCCTTCAGACCTTCACCTAATGACTTCACCTCATGCCCACCATTCCAAAACGGTTATACACGTGCTCGATCCTAACCAGCTCTCCTCCTTTCAAGACCCACCTTAAAATCACACAGCCCTGGCCCTAAAACTATATATATCCTGTCCTCATGTCTCTATTTGGAGACACCACTAAGATTCCAGCAAGTGGAATTCTCCCTTATTGCAGTGAGTCTAACCAAGCTTAACGAGATAAACGAACTTTACTGATCGTCTTTTGGGGAGTTACCACTGGCTGTTGACAGAGGCTGGGATATTCACCCATTGCAACAGGAAGTAGGGTAGAGACGAAAGTGTTCTGAAGTGGTGGAGAGGTGATGGAGCCATCTTTCTAAAATATAAAAATTATACCACCACTACCATGTATTGGTTCCCTATTGCTCCTGTCACAAATTTCCAAAAACATAGTGCCCTGAGACAATACAAATGTATCCTCTTATAGTTCTATAGGTTGGAAGTCTGAAATGGGTCTCACTGGGCTAAAATCAACACCAGCTGGACTGTGTTCCTTCTCAAGGATCTAGGGGAAAATCCACTTCCTCCCTTTTCACAGCTTCTATCTGCTAATTGCATTCCTTTCAAAACCACCAATCCTGTCACTCTGACCTCTGCTTTTGTCATTACAACTCCTTCTCTGACCCAGACTCTCCTGCATCCCTCTTTCACTTATCAAGGCCCTTATAAGTCACCTCACATTGGGCCCACCTAGAACATTCTGGACAAACTGCCAATGCAAGATCCTTAACATCTGTAAAGTCCCTTTTGTCATGTAAGGTAACACGTTCATAGATTCTAGGAATCAGAACACAGAATTCCTTGGGGGCCACTATTCTGCCTACCACATACTATTATAAACCTATGATATTGTAATTTATAATAAGTATATACTTTTGTCTTCACCCATGGTTCCTGGCTCAGAGCTCCCAAAACCCTTGGAATTTCCTAAGGGATTAGAGCAATGGGATCACCTTTTGTTATAATATTTGGTCTTTTGTCCTCAGTACCTGAGTGGGAAAGGTGAAATGGGTGTCTTGTTATTCATAACAAGCTCTTTCAACCACACAGGAGTTTATGTTAATAAGGTTACTATTGAAAAGCCCTTAGGCAACCTAAGGAAGGAAGCTGGTTGCCAGGGAAACCAAACTGCTTTGTAAATTTAAACTCCACCCTCAACCTTTAGGGAGAGAAGAGGGGCTAGAGATTGAGTTCAATTACCAGCGGTCAATGATTTAATCAGCCACACCTACATAATGAGGCTCCAAAAAAATCCCTGAACTTTGGGGTTTGGAGAGCTTCCAGGTTAGTGAACCAGAAGGCAACCTGTGCCAGGAGGGTGGTGCACCCTGAAACACACAGGGATGTAAGCTCCTGGGTTCAGATCCCTCCTGGACAAACCCTGATATACCTCTTTATCTGGCTGTTCATTTGCACCTTTGATACCCTTTGTATAAACTGGTAACCTAAGAAGCAAACTGGTTTCCTTAGTTCTGCGAGTTCTCTAACAATTTAATCACACCCAAGGAGGGGTGCATTGGCTCTATAACTGGTTTGATTAGAACCAAGGTTGGAAGGGTAATGGGGAAAGAGTCATTTCCTACATCGCTGGTATAAGTATAAATTAGTTCAACCTCTAGGGAAGGCAATTTGGCACTATTGATCAAAATAAGTGCCAGTATTTTGTAATCCAACAGATGCACTAGTAGAAGTTTATTCTACAGATATTCCCACATATGTGTAAATGGTACCATCCATGTACCACTGTTTGTAGTAGCAAAAAGACTGGAAATGTCCATCAGTAGAGAAATGGTTAATAAATTAAAGGCATACCTTGGAGATATTGTAGGTTCAGTTCCAGACCACCGCAATAAAGCAAATATTGCAATAAAGCAAGTCAAATGAATTTTTTTGGTTCCCAGTACACATAAAAGTTGTTTAACCTACACTGTAGTCTATTAGTGTGCAACAGAATTATGTCAAAAAGAACAAGGTTTATATCTTAAAAATACTTTATTGCGACCACTGTCTTATACCATTCACAAAAATAAACTCAAAATGGATAAAGGACCTGAATGTGAGACAGGAAACCATCAAAACCCTAGAGGGGAAAGCAGGAAAAAACCTCTCTGACCTCAGCCACAGCAATTTCTTACTTGACACATCCCCAAAGGCAAGGGAATTAAAAGCAAAAATGAACTACTGGGACCTCATCAAGATAAAAAGCTTCTGCACTGCAAAGGAAACAATCAACAAAACTAAAAGGCAACCAACGGAATGGGAAAAGATATTTGCAAATGGCATATCGGACAAAGGGCTAGTATCCAAAATCTATAAAGAACTCCTCAAACTCCACACCAAAAAAACAAATAATCCAGTGAAGAAATGGGCAGAAAACATGAATAGACACTTCTCTAAAGAAGACATCCAGATGGCCAACAGGTACATGAAAAGATGCTCAACGTCGCTCCTTATTAAGGAAATACAAATCAAAACCACACTGAGATATCACCTCACGCCAGTCAGAGTGGCTAAAATGAACACATCAGGAGACTAGATGCTGGAGAGGATGTGGAGAAATGGGAACCCTCTTGCACTGTTGGTGGGAATGCAAACTGGTGCAGCCGCTCTGGAAAACAGTGTGGAGGTTCCTCAAAAAATTAAAAATAGATCTACTCTATGACCCAGCAATAGCACTACTGGGAATTTACCCAAGGGATACAGGAGTGCTGATGCATAGGGGCACTTGTACCCAATGTTTATAGCAGCGCTTTTCAACAATAGCCAAATTATGGGAAGAGCCTAAATGTCCGTCAACTGATGAATAGATAAAGAAATTGTGGTTTATATACACAATGGAATACTATGTGGCAATGAGAAAGAATGAAATATGGCCTTTTGTAGCAACGTGGATGGAACTGGAGAGTATTATGTAAATGAAATAAGTCATACAGAGAAAGACAGATACCGTATGTTTTCACTCTTATGTGGATCCTGAGAAACTTAACAGAAACCCATGGGGGAGGGGAAGGGAAAAAAAAAAAAAAGAGGTTAGAGTGGGAGAGAGCCAAAGCATAAGAGACTCTTAAAAACTGAGAACAAACTGAGGGTTGATGGGGGGTGGGAAGGAGGGGAGGGTGGGTGATGGGTATTGAGGAGGGCACCTTTTGGGATGAGCACTGGGTGTTGTATGGAAACCAATTTGACAATAAATTTCATATACTGAAAAAAAAAAAAACAAATGAGAAAGCTCACCTGGTATTGAATCAATAATCTCCTAGATACATATTTTTAATAAGCTTGCTATTTGGAATAATTTCAGATTTTGAGAAAAATTGTGAAAATAGTATAGAGAGCTCCTGTACACCCCTCACCCAGTTTCGGTCTCCCCTGATGTTATCATGTTACATTACATGTGTGAAAGGGTTCCAATCTAAAATGGAACTGGAGGATATGAATTGGCGAATCTCATGTGTGCACCTTCAGAAGAATGGAACTTAGGGGGGCGCGTGGGTGGCTCAGTTGGTTGAGCGTCCAACTTCCTCTCAGGTCATGATCAAGCCTTCTGTGAGTTCGGGCCCCCCATCAGGCTCTGTGCTGACAGCTCAGAGCCTGAAGCCTGTTTCAGATTCTGTGTCTCCCTCTCCCTCTGCCCCTCCCCCACTCACGCTCTGTCTCTCTGTCTCTGAAAATGAATAAACCTTAAAAATTAAAAAAAAAAAAAAAAAAAAAAAGAATGGAACTTAGGAACTGAAAGACTGTTTTCCCATAAATGCCCAATTTACAGAAGACTGAGACTTATGTCCTAACCAATGAACATCCACAAAGATCATCTCCCCATCCTCAAGCCAACGAACTTACTGCTTGGACTCTGGCTGGACTGCCTTCTCTTTGCACCCCTCACCCATAAATTAGTCTGCCCAAACTCTCAGAAGACACGCCTGTAGCTTGCTATAGCATGCATTTCCTGAAAGGCAATTCCTCCATTCGTTCCGAATAAACCCAGTTTCTCGTAATTTGAGCTCACCTCAGTTTACCTTTTTATGTAGGTCAATATATGATACATTGTCAAAACTGAAAGACAAATATTGGGACATTTCTGCTAAATAAACTCTGGATTTCACTGGATTTTTCTGTTAATGTCCTCTTTCTCCTCCAGGATCCAATCCAGGGAATCACACTGCATTTAGTTATCCTGTCCCTGAGTCTTCCCCAGTCTGTGACAGTTTTTCAGGCTTTCCTTGTGTGAATACCTTGAGCAATACTGGTCAGGTATTTCATAGGATACCACTCAATTTCAGTTTGACTGACATTTTTCTCATGACTAGACTAGAGCTCTGAGCCTCTGGAAAGAATACCACAGAGGTGAAGTGGCTTCTCTTTGCGTCATAGCAGGTGGCACATAAATCTACACATCACTGGTGATGTTTACCTTGATCACATGGCTAAGGTACACAGTTTCTCCATGGTAATATTACTATTTTTTGTATTTTTTGTTTTTGAGACAGAGAGAAAGCATGAGCTGGGGAAGGACAGAAAGAGAGGGAGACAAACGGAACTGAAGCAGGTTCCACACTGAGAGCAGAGAGCTGTGAGATCAAGACCTGAGCCCAAGTCAAACACTTAGCCGACTGAGCCACCCAGGCGTCCCTAGTATTACTATTTTTGCCTTTCCAAACTCTGTTCTTTGGAGTTCAGCCACTAAGTCAAGTTCATTCTCATGTGTGGAAAGGGAACAAAGAAGCTCCACCCCCCAGGAGGAATATCTACATAAGATAAATGAAATTTTTGGGAAAGGAGGATCCCCTCCCCCCATTTACTTACTTATTCAAACATCAATTTTTATGTTTTGGGTAACAACCCAACACTACATTATTTACTGTATTGCTCAGATTGTTCCAGCTTTGGCCACTGAGGGCTCCCCCAGGTTGGTTCCTGTGTTCTTTCCAGATGCCCCCATCCTGTCATTTATTTGAGCATTTCCTTAATTTTGATTGTTGCCTGGAGGCCAGCAGCATTTCTCTCTCTCAGCACCTGTTCCTTCCTCTGTGGCTTCTGGTGTTTCCTCCCCTTTGGTCTTGTAGCCGCTCCCCCTAAGCTTCCCCCCCAGGCTGGGCTAGACTAGCCCTTTGTGGAGGGCTGAAGTCAGAAACACCATCCCTCAGCTGTGTCTGTCCCCAAGACAATTAAGAGGCCCTGCATGAAAGCCCAGGGGTCCTGCTCCCAAACCTCCTTCTACCTGTGGTACAGGGAGTCCTCGGGGTGCAGAGGTGGGGGCCTACATCTCTCACGTGACCGCTGTCACCATGGCACTCTGGTGCAGCTTCTCCAGGGACCAGGACCCAGGGAGTTAGGTCTACAGAGGAGTGGCTGGCTACCCTTTCTCCAGAGTTTCTCAGGGAGGGCCTGGTGAGATGAAGTCACAGATTTGTTGAGCTCCTGTGACCTGCGCCTTGGGATTTCACTCTTCTCAGCTCTCCTGTCCGATGTTTACCTCCTAATCCAAAGCCACTGTATCCAAGTTCTCCTTCTAAGATGACTGACAGAGAAAACTTCCCTCCAAGGATACTGACAGAGAAAGAACCGCAGGGATGTGGGCATCTGCTGGTATCCCTGCATTCTGCAAAGCACCAAGTGACAGGGGAAGGTGAAGTACAAGTGTGAATGTAGGCATGCATGGGCATGGAAGGGTGAGTGTGACCTTACCCTTGCGTCGTAAACTCATCTTTCATTCCTCGCTCCCAGATTCCCAATAGGTCTTCTCTCCACACCTATGCTACCATTGCCTCACTCAGATCAGAGCCATAGCCTCCTGATGTGCTTGTCCTGTTCCAAGTCATTGTACAGATTTTTTTTAGAATACAAATCACATTATGTCACTAATCTGTTTCAAACCCTTGAATGGCTCTACATTGCCATCATGATAAAGACCCTCAACTCCTTCCCTTACCTTGTGCCACTCCCCCCTCACTACCCAAACTGCAGCCACCTATGCTGCCCTTCACCCTAGCTCCTTGGCCTGCGTCCTCCTCCCTCCAAATCCCCGTCTCTTCATTCCCATTCCTCTTCCTCCTTCAGACATAAGGGGTCTGTTAAATGAATGCAACTCTTTGGTGTCATTTCCCTCAACTGCGAAATACAGAGGAAGAAAACCCTAAAGGCTTGTCAGGGGCTGGGACACCTGGCGATGGGGAGATGATGGTGGTGGGAGAAACTGCCACAGTGGTGGTCCCCAGCCTTCAGAGTGGGGTCTCCGGGTGCTGAGGCAGGTCACACCCTCTCTGCCTCACTCACACTGCAAGGGCCAATGCTCCCAAATGTCTGTCTGAGACCTCATGAGAGAGTAGCTGCAGTGACAACAAAGACATTTGTGAGGTGGGGGCTTCACCCAGCGGTGGTGACACACCATGGTCAGGAGCACAGACCCCAAGAAGCCCTGGTCAATAAGAGCGTCATGGAGGAGGAAGAGCCACAAGGAGACTCACCCTCAGCCATGACTGAACTCAGAGAAGAGGGCAGAATTTTTTTTGAATGAGTCTAGATAATCCTTCTGGCTTTTATCCTCCTGGGGCCATCAGGAGAGTCTTTTCCAGGGCCACAGACACTCGTATCTAGCCAGGCTTCACTTGCCTTCCCGAAGAAGGGAGAAGGGAGCCTGGAGGTGAGGGACGGAAGGAGAAGGGAGGTTTCCACTGGCCCCAGTGCCACTCCAGGAACCTTCAAATTCAGCATCTGGCTGTTCCACGGGACTGTCAGAGATTCAGCCCAACGGTGTTTTCAAAGGCTGTTCTGGCTAACCGTCCTCAACACAGCTTCTCCCAACTTCCCGGGAAAGCACCCATAAAACACAGAACAAAGAGGAAAGGCAAAAACCACTGCAAACTTATGCCAGAGCTCAGAGAAACCAATGATAATTGCAGGCAGATAGAGCCAGGTCTACCAAACCTTAGTGACGCCAAGGCAGTTTTAGGAATTTTAGTCTTTGCCCGTTTGGGATGCTTTCCCAATGCTCAGATTTTGTAAGGTGTAGGGAGGCCATGGATTTTACTTAAGATTAGATGCCAAGGGGCACCTGGGTGGCTCAGTCAGTTAAGCGTCTAACTTCCACTCAGGTCATGATCTCATGGTTCATGAGTTCAAGCCCCACATCTGGCTCGCTGCTGTCAGCATGGAGCCCGCTTCAAATCCTGCCCCCCCCGCCCCTCCCCTGCTTGTGCTCTCTCTCTCTCAAAAATAAACATTTAAAAAGAAGAAGACTACCTTAAAAAAACACGATTAGATGACAAAATTTGGGGGGAAAACTGATGAAGTGGCAAATCAGGAACACCTTACAGTATTAACAAATTAAAACAAACACTGGGTTGGCACAAAAACAGACACATAGACCAATGGAATAGAATAGAAACCCCAGAACTAGACCCACAAACGTATGGCCAACTCATCTTTGACAAAGCAGGAAAGAACATCCAATGGAAAAAAGACAGTCTCTTTAACAAATGGTGCTGGGAGAACTGGACAGCAACATGCAGAAGGTTGAAACTAGACCACTTTCTCACACCATTCACAAAAATAAACTCAAAATGGATCAAGGACCTGAATGTGAGACAGGAAACCATCAAAACCCTAGAGGAGAAAGCAGGAAAAGACCTCTCTGACCTCAGCCGTAGCAATCTCTTACTCGACACATCCCCAAAGGCAAGGGAATTAAAAGCAAAAGTGAATTACTGGGACCTTATGAAGATCAAAAGCTTCTGCACAGCAAAGGAAACAACCAACAAAACTAAAAGGCAACCAACGGAATGGGAAAAGATATTTGCAAATGACATATCGGACAAAGGGCTAGTATCCAAAATCTATAAAGAGCTCACCAAACTCCACACCCGAAAAGCAAATAACCCAATGAAGAAATGGGCAGAAAACATGAATAGACACTTCTCTAAAGAAGACATCCGGATGGCCAACAGGCACATGAAAAGATGTTCAGCGTCGCTCCTTATCAGGGAAATACAAATCAAAACCACACTCAGATATCACCTCACGCCAGTCAGAGTGGCCAAAATGAACACATCAGGAGACTATAGATGCTGGAGAGGATGTGGAGAAATGGGAACCCTCTTGCACTGTTGGTGGGAATGCAAATTGGTGCAGCCGCTCTGGAAAGCAGTGTGGAGGTTCCTCAGAAAATTAAAAATAGACCTACCCTATGACCCAGCAATAGCACTGCTAGGAATTTATCCAAGGGACACAGGAGTACTGAGGCATAGGGGCACTTGTACCCCAATGTTCATAGCAGCACTCCCAACAATAGCCAAATTATGGAAAGAGCCTAAATGTCCATCAACTGATGAATGGATAAAGAAATTGTGGTTTATATACACTATGGAATACTACGTGGCAATGAGAAAAAATGAAATATGGCCTTTTGTAGCAACGTGGATGGAACTGGAGAGTGTGATGCTAAGTGTAATAAGCCATACAGAGAAAGACAGATACCATATGGTTTCACTCTTATGTGGATCCTGAGAAACTTAACAGGAACCCATGGGGGAGGGGAAGGAAAAAAAAAAAAAAAAGAGGTTAGAGTGGGAGAGGGCCAAAGCATAAGAGACTGTTGAGAACTGAGAGCAAACTGAGGGTTGATGGGGGGTGGGAGGGAGGAGAGGGTGGGTGATGGGTATTGAGGAGGGCACCTTTTGGGATGAGCAGTGGGTGTTGTATGGAAACCAATTTGACAATAAATTTCATATATAAATAAAAAATAAAAAAAAATAAAAAAATAAAACAAACACTGGGTACCTGGATGACTCCGTTGGTTAAACATCTGGCTTTGGCTCAGGTCATGATCTCATAGTTCCTGAGTTCAAGTCCTGCTTTGGGTGAGCCCCACTTCTCTCTCTCCCCCTCTCCTCTCTCTGCCTGTTGCTCTCTTGTGCCCTCCCCCAAAAAAACCACTTTGTGAAAAAATAACCAAATTTCTTTCATTCTTTCTTTCTTTCCTTCTTTCTTGAGAGAGAGAGAGAGAGAGAGAGAGCGAGCGAGCAGGGGAGGAACAACAGGAGAGGGAGAGAGAAACATACAGAGAGAGAGAGAGAGAGAGAGAGAGAGAGAGAAGCTTAAGCAGGCTCCATGCCCTGTAAGAAGCCCAATATGGGGCTTGATCTCACAACCAGATCATGACCTCAGCCTAACTCAAGAGTTGGATGCTTAACCAACTGAGTCATCTAGGTGCCCCCTCAAAATAACTGAATTTCTTTAACGCCATAAGGTAGTTGTTTTATGTGTTGTATCTTGAACAGGACTCAAGTACAGAAAATTCACTATGTACCAGCAACAGCGGTGTTTTAATGCAAGTCGGTGCCATATTTGCTCATTTGTGAGAAGCAGGACAGCAGAATGATGAAGAGTAGATTCTGAAGCCAGACTAGAGACCAAAGGGTTATGAGAACAAGGAGGTCTTCCCACCTGGGCAGATTCTTACAGGGCAAGAAGGGGTCTGGACTTTATGCAAGTGAAAAACCTTCAGATTCTGTGGCCATCTCACAGAGGTCATACCACAACATGGTGTCCCATGCTCTGGTTACACTGGGAATCCTGGTTGGGGTCATATCTAGGGCTGAAAAAGACCAAGGCAGACATACATATTATCTTTTAAATGCATACAACAAGAATGGAGAAAAAATAATTTTCAAAGCATCGGAGAAAAAAAATCCTTAAAATACTTTCAAAATACTGATAAAAATACTTATAATACTTTTTATAGAATAATGATAAAAGTGGCATCTTGGGAGCCATCCAAACCTCACTGAGGGTCAGCATTAGGATAGCTGTGTGATGCAGGGCAAATCACTTTAACCCTTCTGTGAGCCCTATCTCTTGGGAATAAATAATAGCACTTCCTACACAATGAAATGTTAACTGAGATAATGATTGTTTGGCACTGAGTCCCTGGTATATGGTGCTGTTATTAGAGATCATTGATATAGGTGGACAAGAAAATCAAAATAGTTCCTTTCCGGTAGTTCCTTTTTTGGTTTTGGGTACATAATTTGAACCCACTGAAATTCTTGTTTCATAATACATGCCTACCAGTGGTTGTAGAACACATAAAAAATGAACTTCTGTGTTGGGATTGGATGCTTGGAGACCACCTGGTTTCAACAATTCAGAATAATTCTAGGATTGAAAGAAAGCAACCGGGGTGCCTGGGTCGCTCAGTCAGTTAAACATCCAACTTTCGCCCAGGTCTTGATCTCGCCGTTTGTGACCTCAGGCCCCACATTGGGCTCTGTGCTGACAGCTCAGAGCCTCGAGCCTGCTTCAGATTCTCCCTCTCTTTCTGGGGGGCCCCCCCCCGCTCACACTCTGTCTCTCTCAAAATTAAGTAAACATTTAAAAAAATTTTCTTGGGGCACCTGGGTGGCTCAGTCGGTTAAATGTCTGACTCCGGCTCAGGTCATGATCTCACAGTCCGTGAGTCTGAGCCATGCGTCAGGCTCTGTGCTGACAGCTCAGAGCCTGGAGCCTGCTTCAGATTCTGTGTCTCCCTCTCTCTGACCCTCCCCTGTTCATGCTCTGTCTCTCCCTGTCTCAAAAATAAATAAAAACTTTAAAAAAAATTTTTTTTAATTTTTTCTTAAATAAAAGAAAACATACTCCTCCACCTGTATACCCATACCCACATATGTACATACCACACTTGTGCGCACACACCCACACTTGTACATCATACTTGTACACACCCACACACCATGTACGCCCTTACACTTGCACACACACACACACAAACACACATAAGTGTAAGCCCTTTCCAACTGGTCAATGACCCATACCAACCTGCTGTCATCCTCAAGAACATCCCAATCTTGTCCCAGTTATGCAGGTGTAGGAACTTCAAGATTTTGAAGGTTGTGTCAGATCTTATGGGAGTGGGCTCTAACCTATGAGGGAGGGTATATTGTGACTCTCCTTAGAGGGGCACAGTGGGCAAACTGGAAGGAAGGAAGGGGGCCCTCTGCTCCGACAAATGGCTAAGTACTTTCCGAAGAACAAGTAAGTAAAAGATGTACATTTTGCATTTGTCTATTAGTTCTTAAAAAAGAACTTTTTTTCTCTTCTCTTTTTTCTAATTAATTTACCTCCACAGTTATTTCTTTACTCCTTTCTTAAGGATTTGTTGCTTTTCTAAAATTCTAAGTGACGTATTCAGTTGATTAAATTCTCTTTGTCTTGGCTAACAGAAGCATTTAAAGCTATGAGTTTATATCTGAAAACATAGCTTTGTCCATATACCTTAGTGTTGATATGTTGTGTTTTCTTGCTTATTCTTTTTCTAAAGATTCTGGTATTGTAATTTTGATTTCTGTATGACTCTAGTGCTGTTTAGAATCATTTTTTCCCCTCTTATGATTTCCAAGTGGCTGGGTTTTGTGTGTGTGTGTGTGTTAAATATTTATTGGTTACAATGTGGCTACAGAATATAGTTAAGTATAATTTCTGCTTTTTGGAGTTTATTAAGGTTTCTTATGTGCAATTTGTAAGAATATTTGTAGCTGATGTGCATTTCACAAGCCATGATCTAGCTTTGGTAAAACAAAATGTAACTCTATTTTTCTGTTACAAAACTTGTCCTCTTTTCTGAGGCCTATTATTCCTAATGGCCATTAAAAAAATAAAACCCACCAACCACCCACAAATATTAGCCACTTCCAGGCAAACTCTGGCATTCCTGTTTTTTCAGGATTTTCCATCAATTAGGGATTTCTCCTTCCCACATCTAAGTAAGGGGAACCCTTGTTGCCTTCCAGGAAGGTCATCCGAATGTTTTGAGGCCATTTCCTGCCCGCTGTGACATCCCTTGAGATAGATGGTTTTCTCCTCCCAGGCCTGTCACCTGCCACAGCTATGCAGAACATAGATTCCTGGCCTGTCTCCCTCACTTCCCGGTTTGAGCACACGCGCTACTGGCCCAGACCTCATGGCCACTTCTACTCTGCCGGCCCCCTCCCAGCCACGTTTGTGAAACCTCCCATACTCAGGTCCTCGGGTCCTCTGGTCCTGATACCATCTTGACACCTCTCCAGGTGCCTGCCTGTCCTCCCAGAGAGTCTCCACTTTGGGACCTCACATCCCTAACTAGGGGAGGGATATCCTTTCAGGAGAGCTCTGACCCTGGGGGCAAGGGAGGGAGCAGAGGACCGTGGCCTTTCTCAAGACACCCACGCAGCATCTGATTCTCTGGCATCCCCAACTTCTCCTATCTGAGGTGGCAGGACGCGAATCTCCAGGTCTCGGCTGCGCTTTGGTGCCACCTGGTGGTGGTTGGACAGCCCCGGCGGTCCCGGTGCTGTTGCTGGTGATCGTGGACGCTGCCGTGACTCCCCAATGAGCTACTCTTTCCAGAATCCGCCTGGTTAGATGGCGCCTGCTTTGTTGGGTAATCTGGGGATACTGGGCAACTAGAATACCAAGACAACAGCTTCTGCTCTGAGGTTTCCAAAAATAAGTTAGGCTGTGTTTTCACTGCCCGGCTGTCCCTCTATCCCCACCCTACCAACAAGAAATAATAACTTTAATTCCCACCTCAGCCCTTAGAGAATAGAAAATAGTCACCAGGAAGATAGTGAAATTCACAGGATGATGCAGGTGGGTTTCTGTCAGGTTTTACTCATTATCCCTCCACATGGGTTGTGAGCACTTGAAAGGCAGTAATAACCCCTCTCTGTAAACGTCTCATGCCCCCTTCCCTGACACGTGGGGGACCCGGCACACTGAATGCTGTGGTCAGACAGGGCAGGAACCTAGGCGGCAGCAGAGGAGGGAGAGAGACCCAATCCCAAACCACCCTCCTGACACCTTCTGAACCAGGACACCAAAGCAAAGGGAAGGAGGTGGGAGACGGGAATAGATTCCCTGTTTTCTGAAAGTAGAATGTTCCTATAATCCCTTTCCTAAACGGAAATGGCACAAAGCAAAACAACAATGACCAGTTCCTAAAGGCGAAAATCCGCTTCAGATTTCCTTCCACTAGCAAAAGTCGGTGCTGATGTGGGTCTTTTGTAAAAGTGAAATAAAGCAAACTTTCAGATTGGAGGAGAAGGGGACACCTGTGCCTGAAGGAAGTGGAAAGACCCCATGTGAGCCAGGCATTCAGAGTAACCAACAGGAGACACAGCTGGAGGGGGTTCCCTGAATCACGGTGACCAGCATTCTCCTGCAGAATTGCCTGTGAGAATATAGGCACATTTAACTTTTTTGCTTAAATTTTGTTTTGTCTGACATTAAATGTACTAGCCTTCTTTATATTCACATCCTAATGCTTTTTTTTTTCTTTCTTCCTTCCTTTTTTTACGTCAGCACAGAGCCTGATATGGGGCTGGAACCTACTGACTATGAGATCGTGACCTGAGTCAGAGTCGGAAGCTTAACCGACTGAGCCACCCAGGTGCCCCTACAGTCACATTTTAAAACAATACTCTTTGTTGTGGAAAAATATAGACATTTTGGGAAAATAAATTTTATATATTTTTTCTATCTTTCCATCTATCTAAGCATACAGAGATTACTAGTTTCCTAGGGCCACTGGAACAAATTACCACAAACTGGATGGCTTAAAACAACAGAGATTTATTCCCTCGTAGTTATGGTGAGCAAAAAGTCTGAAATTAAGGTGTCGGGAGGACTATATTCCCTTCAAAGGATCTAGGAGAGATTCATTTCTTACCCCTTCCAGCTTCTGATGGCTTTAGACATTCCTTGGCTTGTGGCTTCTTTTATCTCTGTTTCCACATGGCCATGGCCTTCTCTATAGTTTGCATCTTCTCCTCTTCTGCCTCTTATAAGGACACCGGTTGTTGGATTTAGGACCTATGAGGATAATCCAGGATGATCTCATCACAAGATCATTAATTTAATTACTTTTACATCCACAAAAATCTCCTTTCCAAATAAGGTCATATTACAAATTCAGATATTAGGATGTAGATATACATACATACACATCACATCTTTATGCATTCTTTTCAGGTGTTGGTTATATGCATAAATAAAACTTTTTAAACTAAATTTAGGGGCACCTGGGTGGCTCAGTCGGTTAAGCGGCCGACTTCAGCTCATGTCATGATCTCGCGGTCTGTGAGTTCTAGCCCCGCGCTGGGCTCTGTGCTGACAGCTCAAAGCCTGGAGCCTGCTTCAGATTCTGTGTGTCCCTCTCTCTGACCCTCCCCTGTTCATGATCTGTCTCTCCCTGTCTCAAAAATAAATAAACGTTAAAAAAAATTTTTTTTAATAAATAAATAAAATAAAATAAATTTAATTCACAGGCTCTACACAGTTTATATTCAATATTTCTGTAGCAAATTTCTCAATCTTTTTTTTTTTCAACGTTTATTTATTTTGGGGACAGAGAGAGACAGAGCATGAACGGGGGAGGGGCAGAGAGAGAGGGAGACACAGAATCGGAAACAGGCTCCAGGCTCTGAGCCATCAGCCCAGAGCCTGACGCGGGGCTCGAACTCCCGGACCGCGAGATCGTGACCTGGCTGAAGTCGGACGCCTAACCGACTGCGCCACCCAGGCGCCCCTCAATCTTTAAATATTGATCCAAAACACGTTTGTAATGGCTGCATCATAGGCCATCTTAAATGTGCTATGTTTTGTTTAACCATTCAGTTAATATTGAGCACTCATAATTTTTGGTACTATAGATAAATGCTATAGTCAACAGCCTCACAAAAATCTAGCTTCCAAAGGTATGTAATGGACAGCTTGTTTTCACCACTCTGTATCCATCGTCCCTTCTGATAAACTACCCCAGTTTTTCCTGTGGAACTAACCCTTCCTTATGGGCTATGGGTTTGGTGAAGCCATCAGTGAATACGGTGGTTCTACACTTTTCTAGATTAAAAAATAGACATGAAACCTGACCTAGGCTAATTTTATACTCTCTCCATGGCAACTAAATCTTAAGCAAAATGATAAGACTCAAAACAGCTGTAGCTGATTCATCCTGTAGCTGATTCATTTCTTTCTGTTACCTGGTTCAGAAAGCAACCTGAGAGCCACCTGGGGCTTCTATCCTCTTTGGACCAGTTTTTTGGATATCTCTATCAGGGCTGTGAATCGAATAAAAAAAAAAAATTTCTGTTTTATTTTGTCTGAATTAATTTCTGGTTTTTGCAAAGATCCCTACCATATATAAGGCACTTGGTTCATTTTTGTCTTTTTTGCTTTCCATAAAAAACATTTAGTAATATAAATTTTCTCCTGAGCAGAGTTCAATTGCTGTCTAAAGTCATGTTCTCACTGGTATTATTTCATGCATGGATTTATATTTCTTCTTTGAACTGAGCTATTTAAAAATGTGGCTTAAGAATTTCCTGTGGTTTTTTAGAAAATTATTTTATTGCTTTATGTTTCATTTTGTTACATTATGTTAAGAGAATTTTGGAGATTTATACAGATCATTATGTGCATGATGAATTTTTATAAATGTTCTTTAGGTCATTAAAAAATAGGTATTGTCTATTTGTGGATACGAAACATCCTTTCTCTCTCTCTCCACACACACACACACACACACACACACACACACACACACACACAGAGTCACCCACAAATGTTATAATAACTGACTTCAGCAAAGTTGCAGGATACAAAATCAACACATAAAAACCAGTTGCATTTCAATTTACTAGCAATGAACAGTCCAAAAAGAAAATTAAGAAAACAGTTCCATTTAAAATATCATCAAAAATGGGGTGCCTGGGGCTTTTGGTTTCTGCTCAGGTCATGATCTCACGATTCATGAGTTTGGGCCCCACATTGGGCAGTGCAGAGCCTGCTTGGGATTCTGTGTCTCCCTCTCTCTCTGCCCCTCTCCCACGCATGTTGTCTCTGTCTCTCTCTCAAAAATAAATAAACTTTAAAATAATAAAATAAAATATCATCAAAAAGGAAAAAATATTCAGGAATAAAGTCATCTAAGGAGACACAAGACTTATATACTAAAAACTATAAAACATTGCTAAAAGAAATTCAAGAAGACCTAAGTAAATGTAAAAATATCCCATGTTCATGGATTGGAAATATACAAATTCAATGCAATCCCTATCAAAATCCCAATGGCAATTTTTTGGTCTTTTTTTTTTTTCCAGAAATGTTAAAGCTCATCCTAAAATTCACATGAAATTTCAAAGGGCCCTGAATAGTCAAAACAATCTTGGAGAAAAAAAGAACAAAGTTAAAGGACTCACAATTCCCAATTTCAAAATCTTACTACAAAGCTACAGTCACTAAAACAGTGTAGTACTTGCATTAGGATAGACATATAGACCAATGAAATAAAATCAAAAGCCCAGAAATAAATCTTCACATCTCTGGTCAATAAATTTTTGACAATAAGGAAAAGGCCAATTTGCTCAGCAAAGTATTTTTAAGAAAATAGGATATCCACGGGCAAAAACAAAACAAAACAAGTTGGACTGTTACCTCATACCATACACAAATTAATTTAAAATAGATCAAAAACTTAAATTTAAGAGCATAAAAACGATGATCATTTTAGAACACTTCTATCACCCCTAAATAGTTCCCTCATGCCTATGCCTAATTGATTTGCTCTATTATTTTGGTCTTTCTAGAAATTTTATACCAACAAAATCATACAAAACATAGTTATTTGTGTCTAGCTACTTTCATGAAGTTCACCTATGCTGTAGCATGGATTAGCACTTTGTTCCTGATTTTCATTGCTGAGGAATATTCCATTGTGATTTCTCATGATTATAATGGGATTATGGGTTTTGGAGAGGAAGACCACAGAGTAAACTGACATTCCTATCACATCACATCAAGGGTACATGGTATCAACAGGATTCATCACTGTTGATGTTGATCTTGATTTCCAGGCTGAGGTAGTTTTTGTCATGTTTCTCCACTTTCTTATGCCTTTACATACGATACAATTTGAAAGAATTCGCTATGCACAGTACACACATAAGCGGTGGGGAGTTATGCTCCCCCAACTTGAGGTAAAGCATACAATGGAGCATAAACACTCCTTTCAGGTATCTACATAAGTTATCTGGAATCTGTGTGGGAGATTTGTCTATTCTCCATTTATTCTTTTATTTATTTGTAGCATGTGGACTCATGGATAATTACTTTATACTATAGGTTATAATCCAATACTATTTGGTTTTATTGCTCAATTTGTCCTGCTTTGGCTGCTGGGATCACCTTCAGTTGCCTCCCATGTCTTTCTGACATATTCCTATCATTTTAGGTATTTTCATTTTTTAAGTACTTTTTTTTTTTTTTTAACTTTCAGGCACTACAGGACGCTCCAGGCTATTTCTCACACCTGATTTTAGAATCAGCCATTTTTCCAAGAAGCCCTGGCTCTTTTATTAGAGAATGGTATGAGAAACCAAGATCTGGGCACTGCGTATGCTCATTGCTACTGGGGTGTTTGCTTCTTGACCCTCTCAGAGGGCAGAGCTTGGAAATATATCTGTATGTACACACTGTGTATGATTATTTGCCTCTTGGGGCTCCTGTGTGGCTCAGTTGGTTGAGTGTCTGACTCTTGATTTCAGCTCAGGTCATGATCCCAGGGTCATAGGATCGAACCCCGCATTGGGCTTTGTGCTGAATGTGGAGCCTGCTTAAGATTCTCTCTCTTTCCCTGCTCGGTCCTTTAAGACTTTGGGTTTTGAATACCAGCCACGTGCCAAAGAAAAAAATGCGAGAGAGTTGTGGTACAGTGTGGACTGACTACCCTCGATATTCTGTGAGGGCTTCCTGAACAGCAAAGGGTGTGAGATCCCCAGTCCAGAGTTGGGAGATTGGGGTGGTGCCATTTCCCCCCCTGACACCAACACAGGGGGACTTCAGAGAGCAACACAGCGGCCCCAATGGAGGCAGGACCCGCTTACACCAAACCCCACCACTGTGTACCTGGAAAATGCTTATTTACTGGGGTAAGACTGACTCTGAGCCAACACAGGGAGCCTCTCCTCCAGGACAGACAGCACCCCACATGCACCAAGCGTACTGAAAATCAAGTGCTTCAAAACGTCACCTGCAGTTCTGGTGAAAATAGGACCAGACCTGCTTTTTTTTTCTTTTTTTTCTTTCTTCTTTGTTTTTCTTTTGGAATCAGGCTCATAGTTTCTTTCTTTTTTTTTTTTTTTAATTTCCTTTTATCTCTTTTTTTTTGGATCATATTTTTTTATCCTTTTCCTTTCTTTTTTTTTTTTCTTTCTTTTTCTTTGGAATCAGACTTACAATTTTTTGATTCTTTGTTTTTTGTTGTTGTTCCTTTTCCTTTTCTCTTTTTTGGGGGATCAGGCTTTCCCCCACTGCCCATTTTTTCCAGGGTTACTTCAACAAACAAATCAAAGCACACCTAGTTAAAGGTCCAAACACTCCCCACTGGAAGCAAGGACGAGCTCTGCAGAGGACTAACTAGCAACAAAAAGCGGCCAAGATGCAATAGCAGAGTGCACATAGCATATACCAGAAACACTTTCTGAAGTGCCAAGCCCTGGACAGTGTATGACCCCTTTTAAATACAGCACTAATCTCAGGTTCAGGAAACATAACAAGCATTTAAAACACACAAAAGAAGGATGCCTGGGTGGCTCAGTCAGTTAAGCATCTGACTTCGGCCCAGGTCACAATCTCATGGCTCGGGAGTTCAAGACCTGCATGGGGCTGTGCTCACAGCTCAGAGCCTGGAGCCTGCTTTAGGTTCTGTGTCTCCCTCTCTCTCTGCCCCTATCCCACTCACACTCTGTTTCTTTCTGCCTCTCAAAAATTAATAAACATAAAAAAAATTTTTTTAAACACACAAAAGACAGAAACTTAGCCAAAATGACAAGATGGAGGAACTGTCCCTAAAAGAAAGGTCAAGAGGAAATCACAGCCAGGGACTTGCTCAAAACAGACACAAGCAACAGATCTGAACAAGAATTTAGAATAACAGTTATAAGACTACTACCCGGGCTTGAAAAAAGCATAGAGGACACCAGAGAAACCCTTGCTGCAGAGATCAAAGACCTAAAAACTAATCAGACTGAAATAAAAAATACTGTAACTGAGAGGCAAAACTGAGTGGACACGGTCACAATAAGGATTGAAGCAGAGGAGAGACTAGGTGATACAGAAGATAAAATTATGGAAAATAATGAAGCTGAAAAAAAGAGAAAAAGGAAATTATTAGATCACAAGGGAAAGAATTAGAGAACTTAGTGATTCCATAAAGCAAAGCAATATTCATATCATAGGAGTCCCAGAAGAAGAACTGGAAAAAGGGGGAGAAGATTTATTTGAACAAATTATAGCTGAGAACTTCCTTAATCTGGGGAAGGAAACAGGCATTCAAGCCCAAGAGGCACAGAGAACTCCCGAGAAATGAAAAAACAGGTCAACGCCATGACATATCATAGGGAAGCTTGGAAAATACAAAGATAAAGAGAGAATTCTGAAAGGAGCTAGGGACAAAAGATCCATAACCTACAAGGGTAGACACATAAGGTTAGCAGCAGACCTGTCCACTGAAACCTAGCAGGCCAGAAAGGAGTGGCAGGAAATATTCACTGTGCTGAATGGGCAAAATATGCAGCCAAGCATTCTTTATCCAGCAGGGCTGTCATTCAGAATAGGAGAGGTAAAGAGTTTCCCAGACAAACAAGAATGAAAGGAGTTGGTGATCACTAAACTCGCCCTGAAAGAAATTTTAAGGGGGACACTGAGTGGAGGAAAAAAAAGAAAAGAAAAGAAAAGAAAAGAAAAGAAAAGAAAAGAAAAGAA